CATGGTCTGTGACAGGTTTTTCATGGCCATGAATTTGGTAGGGCCCTAACTATATTAGAGCTTCAGCTCAAGAAGAACAATGAAAGTGGCTTGTAACTAGAGCCTCAACATCTCACATCACAGAAAAAAGTGTGGGAAAGAAAAGGATGATCAATAGAGCCCTGTGTGGATACAAAATTTATATCCACATCTGTATCGAGAAGAGTGAGCCACAGATATCTGCAATGATATCCATGGATAGAAAGCAAATGCCTCAAATTTGCAAGGTTCTAGATAAAAAATTTGTATCTGCAAAAATGAGCCGCAAATATCTGCATGCATATCCACAGATACCTGCAGATATAAAGCGGATATCCATGGATTTGCAGGACTTCAATGATAAAGATAAAACAAAAATAGCTCTCCCAATTCCTTTAGAAATATTTATTGGTTTTCTGATTAATATACAAGCTAGGGATATAAGCGACAAGTCGACTATCCGATAAGCAAAAGCTTATTGGATAGTTGACTAGTGCCTTGACTAGTCGCTTCCACCCCTCCCCCAAAACCTTGCTGTAATAATGTGTGTGAAAGGGGAGTTTGAGTCAGAGCCGGCCTTAGGAAAATGGCGCTCTGGGTGAACTTGTATTTTGGCACCCCTTCAGTAAGTATATTAGTGAAAATTTCAGAAATAAAGCGCTAATCTTAAAAGTTTTCATAAATTTACTCAGACACAATTTGATTCAATTTTATTAACATAATCAACTTTGTAAGTCATAACATTATAGCTAAGTGTCAAACTAAGCACTAAACTAATGAATAAGAATGCAAAATGTTGTTCACTAAGTGCTAGGATTCAAAAGGCAGTGCTGCACACCTTTGCTGCTGCTAACTGTGACATTGGGACATGTGAGACTGTGAGTCATAGTATTCTCCATAGACAAGGTGTGGAATTGGAGTCTCAGATTAAGGAACAAGACACCTCATTGGGGCACATGAAGGAAGCTGTTCAGTGCTTTGCTTCCCTCCGTGCAGGCCCTGCTATTGTCTCTGCCCCTTGGGAATTGTCATTATCAGTGCTTCTTGGCCAAGCCTTTCCTTTAAGAGCTTCATGGGGAATGGATTATGAGGCACCAAAGGAACGCTGCTATTTTTGAATGGCACCAGATTGTGAAATGAAACAGTGGATGAAAAACCTATGTGGGTTATTCACCCTTCAGTGTGGTTCTTCCTCCACAGTTTGAGCTGCTCTGCAGAAGTCCTGGCAGCTCCCCTGCTGCAGCTGCACTTGCCCCTTATGCCTGGTGCTTGGCCTCCAGTTCAAGGCAAGCTCCATGTTTTCAGATGGAGGCTGCATCTTGCCTGCACCCATGACCCTCCTGCAGCCCTGTGGCCATATCTGACTCATCAGGGGTGCCATTTTAGATTTTTGTGGTGGGGGGGAGGGCATGGAAAGGAAACTTTAACTATGATTGCAGAGGATACTTAGGCACCTGACATTTCTAGGATATTTTTTGTAAATAATGTAGAAATTAGCTGTTGATTTCACAGTACACACATATCCTGAAATATTTCCTTCAATAATAATTATTTACAGATGGGGAAAGCAATAAAAAATGCTGCTTGAGAACTTATTAGAATTAAAATTGAGTGATATAAACTTCTGAACTGGGCTTGTTACATATGGGCAAGTGATCTTAGGATCAGCTGTGCATCAGGCTGCCCCTTTAAAACACCACCTCAGTGTGATTCAAAGGGACAGGAGGGGAGCCCAGGGTCAGCTTGGGAGTCCCCAGCTGATCCTGGGTTCCGGGGAAAATGCAGCGGGAGCCTGGGATCAGCTGGGAATCCTCAGCTGACCCCCGGCTCTAGGACTACCCTTTTGAATACCCACAGAGGAGATGTTTTAAAGGGGCAGCCTGCAGCACAGCTGATGCCTTGGGGTTTCAAAGTGGTACCACTTTGAAGTACCTCTTCACTGCCTCTATAAGGGGAGAAACGGGGGCAGGGGAATTGACTAGTGGACATTACTAGTCGACTAGTCTTTAACATCCTTAGTGTAGATAGGTGACCAAGAATTGAATGGAAGATGTTTCAGCCAGCAAGGCAGACACTGCCTACTGTCCCCATTTCCTTCTCCTATGTACCCACCCCCTGCCTCATATTGGGGAAGCAGCAGCACTCCCCCCAAAAAGGGGGGCCTCAATTTAAAGATACCCCAACAACTGAAGTGTAATACCCTCTCCCCACCTAGTAGTGCACTCCTCTCCCTCAGTTCCCCTATGGGAAAGTAGCTGTTCCTTCCTCCCTTACCTAGCCTTAGCAGCCTTCCCTCCTCCCTGCTACTCCAGTCTCAGCTATTTTGTGCATATGCTACTTGTTTATCTCTCCTGTCCTAGCCCCAGCAAGCAGGAGAGGGAAGGAGTGAGCTGGCCAGGCAGATGCTGGCAGAAAATTGGGTGGTGGCAGGGGGAGTAATGTGATCCAGTGCATGTTCCCTATGTGTCACCTCTCTGCAGAGCAGAGATGTGACTTGATTGCAGTCAGGCTGCAACACAATCCTGGATTAGCTTGATGCTCACTTTGCAGAGTTAAATGTGTGCACAGTGCACCAGTCCTGCAGGCAGAGCCAGGGAAAAGCCCTTTCCTGGACAAGTGGCTATTAGGGGGAAAGGGAAAGAAAAGGGAGAATGGACCTAGACCTGTTCCATGTGAATACGCACCCACACGGGTGGCCCGTGAGCCCAGGCAGACTAGGCAGTAGCTTAGGGTGCTGCTGTCCTGGGGCGCCCAATGATGACATCACGGGGCAACCGGGCACCCAATTATTATGTCATGGCCATTGACGGCCTTGCCGGCAGGGGTGCCAGCTGCTGCAGCTGGCCTCAAACCACTCCTGTGCACCCATATAGCAGGGCTGCTCTAAACCCCAGCCAACCAGAATACAGAGGCTGCAGACACACTTCTTCAGTCCCCACAAAACTCAGCTGTCCACCCAGAGCCTCTTTCGGCACAGCCTGTACTACCCCCTCCCTCCATGGCTTCTACAGGGAGCCTTCTGTCCCAGGGAGAACAGGGAAGCCTCCCCTGCCGGTGCTCCCACCAGACCAGAGGAGTTACCTGAGACAAGTGAGATAGTAATAGATATGTAGCTGTGTTAGTCTGGTCTTGCTGAAACAAAAGACAGGACTATGCAGCACTTTAAAGACTGACAAGATGATTCCATCTTGTCACTCTTTAAAGTGCTGCATAGTCCTGTCTTTTATTTCACTGAGACAAGTGAGTGTCTATTTCCTCCTTGATCCTAGCTGAACTGGCTACAGTTTCCCCTTCTGCTTAGACTAGTCATATACACCCACATCAGTATATTGCCCACGGCCCCGCCTTCATCGCCCTTGTCTAGGGCTGGCACTGATTTGAGTGGTGTGGCAGTTGTATTTCATGGGAGTAAAGGCTGTGTTTGGGATTGAGCATTCGCACTCCTTCTCTCACCCACCTACTCACAAGGGCTACGTCTAGACTGGCATGATTTTCCGGAAATGCTTTTAACGGAAAAGTTTTCCGTTAAAAGCATTTTTGGAAAAGCGTTTCTAGATTGGCACGGACGCTTTTCTGCAAAAGCACTTTTTGCGGAAAAGTGTCTGGGGCCAATCTAGACACGCGTTCATTTTCGCGATCGGGGCTTTTTTGCGGAAAACAAATCTCAGCTGTCTACACTGACCGTTTTGTGCAAAAGGGACTTTTGCCTGAACGGGAGCAGTATAGTATTTCCGCAAAAAGCACTGATCTCTTACAGCAGGAAGTCCGTGCTTTTGCGGAAATTCAAGTGGCCAGTGTAGACAGCTGGCAAGTTTTTCCGGAAAAACTGATTTTCTGGAAAAACTGGCCAGTCTCGACAAAGCCAGTATATCTGGAGGCAGGGGAGTGAGCGATGGGGCTTGCTTTCTGTGGGCAGCATGTGTGGGGAGAGAGAAATGCTTTGGAGTTAGTTTTTCCAGGATTGAGGATGTATGTGGGTGGGGCAAGTGCACGAGTAAGGGAAGAGAAGCGTGAGTGATTAGGAGTCAGTGTGAAGCCTAAAGTGCTATGGGGCTGGCTCCCCGGGATCAGGTGAGTGCTATAGTGCTGGGTGTCCCCCAGTGCGTGGGAAAGCGAGCGCTCTGGGGCCCCATATCCCCAAGGCCCGTGTGCGTATTTGGGGCAGAAGCGAGCACTCTGGGGCCGGAGGTTTCTACCTCCCAGCTGCTCTGGGGGCCAGCCCCTCACGGCAG